GCCCTCAGCCAGGGTCAACCCACCACAATCAAGCCTCATCCTCACACCTAGCACACCTCCTTTCCAAAGGCTTGATACTAATCAGAGACAAGGACTAGGGGTAGTTCCCTAGAGAGAGGGAAAAAGAAAAAAAAAAAAACAAAAACAAACAAAAAAACACCAAACCCCCCCCCAAAAAAAAACCCCACACCAACGACAAACCACACCAAAGCACACTGCATTATAGGGAAGCTGGAGGAAAAAAATGGGCAACAACAGCAAGTTAACAGCACAATGTATTACAGTACTTACCATCACCAACCTCAAAGTCCTTGAATGCAAGTTCTGAACCTGAGTCATCAAGCAGGATTTCACCATTTAAGGTGAACATCATAGTGTGCTCATTCATGTCAACCATACATCCAACAACATCTCCTGCCAACCAAGAGCGGCCAAAATGCTCATTACCTTGATGCCACCGCTGTGCCTGAAAAGGATTTAAAAGCATTTCAAAGAGTAATAGTGACAATGTATATGTTCCTCTCTCCCTTAGTGGTAGAACTAATAATTAGCCCCCTCAATTAAGACAGCACTAAAATTAACACTTTCACAGCATATCATTACAAAACAATGCCTTAGAGTACTCCAAGTTGACTTTGAAAATGGAAATCCAATAATTAACTTCCTGCAAGCAGCCCTCACATCAGTATTGTAAAATGTTGTTAAGTGAGCTGACAGGGAAAATTCCTATTTCAACATTTTAGTAACAAAAGTATGGCTTATTTTTCTGAAGAAGCTCCCTGAAAGGCTATCAATTACAATGTTAAATAACTGCTTCACAAACTTTTTTAAGCAATTGCTTTTATTTAGTCTATTATCCTATAAAGTAATTGCTTCCAAACTTTACTGTTTCCTTAAGTATAACTCTAACAATGTTGTGCACAAAATAAATTAAACTTCCTGTCATACCACATTTTGGAAGGAACAGAATAGTCTGTGGATGGGACAAGCACTCTCAGCTTCTGATAGATTCCAGAGTAGCTGAGGACATGATTAATTATTTGTATGACTGACCTTCAAGTCAAAGACTGCAAAGGCTTTGGATGGGGTCTTGGATTGGAATTCAAATAAATTAACATCTATTAAGAACTACTGTAACACACACACAAAAAAAGCAGTGTTAATAACAAACAGGTTCCTTATTTATATATTCCATCACAAGTAGATTTTAATCCTCTGTATCCATCCTCAAAGTGCTTCAAAAGAAATGAGCGTTTCTGCGTATCCTGAAAGTCAAGGGCTTTTCTCCAACCAAGTAGACAATCCATCAAAATCAAAGACAACAAAATAGCTTTGTGGATTGAGACCTAAGGGTCAAACCCTAAGATTCAGAAGGCAAACTACTACACAGCTATTCTAGGAAAGACACAGGACCTGAATAGTTTACTTAAGCCAATCAGATATTTTACAAAAACAAATTTTCAGTTCTCTTTTTAAGGCATCTTCTCATGTAAAACAACACTGGGAAAAAAATAAATTCTAACAACATGAATAAAATACAGCTTGAGAGACTGATTTAACTAGGAACAGCCAGAAAGACTGTTGATTTCTGTTACATATTGTAATAGTAATAAACAACAGATATAAGAAACATTTTGACATGAGTCATCAGTAGCCTCAATCGCAGTTATGGTTTGGGTAATGGTTGCACTTGCCTTCATACTGAAATAAATTTTTTAATGAGTCATTTAATCTAATTCTGATGATAATCTATTCATATACACTAGTTTGTTCTCTTATACATTTTTACTACTAGATTTCAATCTGTCGTTGTCTTATGCAGAGTTAAATTTGAGCAAAAATTACTGGTTCTGTCACACTTAATTTAAACTGTAAGGATTTCCAGAAAAACTTAGGTATACTCTTTTACTCTTTGTACCTTTTACATTCCTATAAAAAAACTTGTATCAAAGCTTGCCTCAAATACTTACTGCTAATAATCTTAACCATATTTATTCCCCAATGGCATTTCTTACAGAGAGAACAACAGAGTAAAAATTTCAATAAATGATTCATAGTTAATTACAGCTCTGCCAGTATTTTGAACTTGAGTAAGTCACTTAGATTTTCAATGCTTTATATATACGGTACAAATACTGTGAAGCTGTGAAAAAAATTACAGAAATGTCAAATCCTGCTAATTAATTTTTCAGGTGACATTGATCCTCATTATTCCACCTAGGCCCTAAGAAAGAGAGAAATGATTTCACAAAACACAAACAAAAGAAGAGAAGGCAATTAAGTTGAGGCAATGACACATGGAATAAGATGCAAAATTAAAAGTTTTGTAGTCACTCATATTATTACAGATAAACATATACAAACCTTAAAGCCATCAAAAACAAAAGCTTCTTCATCTGAGCCAAGTTCCTGATCTGGCAGACAACCCGGCCTGGTCCAGCCAACTCTCATGTCTCCCGCAGTAACTGCCTCAAACTCAAAGTACCACTTGCCAGCCTTTACTGCGTAAGTCTTTTCCGTGCGGAAGATCCTGAATTTTTCCATTATGCCACTGCACAGGTCAAGTCTCATGGCTGTAAGGTTTAAAAAGTAAAAAAAGTAAAACCCAATGCAGAAAGCACTGTATTCAACTACTGACAAGACAAAGGCAGTGAAAATAAAAGCCAAAGGAATCCCCTTAAGCATACGCATGAAAAGAAGAAAGCGCCTGCGGAACAGCCTTATGGGGAAAGCACCCTTGACCATTCTGGAGCACACTTGGGTACCTCTCTGAAATGACTCTATGCTAATTCATCCAGCATGGGGGGGAAGAAAAAAAACAACAAAACACCAAGAAAAAAGAAGAACTTAGAAATCTGAATGCAGTTACAGGGCTACAATCCTCATTGGGATCACAGAAATACGGTGGGATAACTCACACGACTGGATGGATACACATTTTTTAGGAAGGACAGACTGGGAAGTTGTGAGGAAGAGTTGCCCTATATGTGAATATGTAGAATACATCCACAGCAAGTCTGTAGATGATACAAAACTGGAAAGAGCAGCTGATACACCAGACAGTTGTGCTGCCATTCAGACAGACCGCAACAGGCTGAAGAGGAGGAATAACCCCAGGCAAAAGAATATACTGGGGGCTGAGCAGCTGGAAACCAGCTCAGCAGAGAAGGACCTGAGGGTCCTGGTAGACAAGTGCAATATAAGCCAGTGAAATCTCATAGTTATCTGTGCCAGTAATATAATAATACTGGCTTATAATAATATAAGCCAGTAATGTAGCCTCAGGTCAAATAATGACAGAAGTATTCTGGAACACCCCTGGCAGCAGGTCCAGGGACGTGATCCACTCTACTTGGTACTAGTGAGGACACATCTGGGGTGCTGGGTCCCGTTCTGGGCTCTCCAGTACAAGACAGACACCAATTTACTGGAACAAGTACAGCACAGGGCCATCAAGATGAGTAAGGGGCTAGAGTATCTTTTTCATGAGGAGATGCAAAGAGAGCTGAGACTCTTCAGCCTGGAGAAGAGAAGGCTCAGAGGGTAATCTCATATATGAGCATAAATACCTGGTGGAATGGAATGAAGAAGAGGGAGCCAGACTTCCCAGTGGTGTCCAGTGACAGAATAAGAGGCAATGGACACAAGTTTAAAAACCATGAAATTCCATCTGAACACAAGAAAACACTTTTTACTGTGAGGGTGGTAAAACACTGGAACAGGTTGCCAGAAAAGTTGTGGAGACAACATCCTTGAAGATTCACAGATTCACAGATTGGTAGGGGTTGGAAGGGTCCTCTAGAGATCATCTAGTCCAACCCCCCTGCTACAGCAGGATCACCTAAAGCAGGTTGCACAGGATTGCATCCAGGTGGGTTTTGAATATCTCCAGAGAAGGAGACTCCACAACCTCTCTTGGCAGCCTGTTCCAGTGCTTGGTCACCCTCAAAGTGAAGAAGCTTTTTCTCATATTGAGATGGAACTTCCTGTGTTCCAATTTGTGCCTGTCGCCCTTGTCCTGTCACTGGGCACCACTGAAAAGAGTCTGGCCCCATCCTCTAGACATCCACCCTTTAGATATTTATAAGCGTTGGTAAGATCCCTTCTCAGTCTTCCCTTCTCCGTCTTCCCTTCTCCAGACTAAACAGCCCCAGCTCTCTCAGCCTTTCCTCATAAGAGACATGCTCCAGTCCCCTGAACATCTTTGTGGCCCTCTGCTGGACTCTCTCCAGTAGTTCCCTAAGATAATCAAAACCCATCTGGACATGGTCCTGGACAACCTGCTTTAGCTGACCTTGCTTGACCAGATGATCTCCAGAGGTACCCTACCAACCTTAACAATTCTGTGATTGTGAACTGTTATTTTAAATAAAACAAAACCACCAAACATACAAACCCCAACAAAACACAGACTAAATTAATCTTCCAACTAACATAAAAGACAAACTTTTTTTAAGACAAGATTCCTCAGCTGAGATATCTTCTTTACTTAGAGACTGTGATTGATTCACCTAATCTCCTCATTCTAAAAGTCAGATTTTTTAAGTGTGTCATTGTTATAAAAAATTATTGCTATATTTCTTAGTTGTTATAATAAATATTAGAAGGAAGGTTGCAATTTAGATGTTTTTGCAGAAGCAATGGAAAATGGAGGATAGGAATCATTAAAAAGTCTTGCATGAAGGTTTAACAACAACAAAAATCCCAAAGTAATTATACTCCTGCTTCAGGAAAAAATATATTAACTTCTGTCAAGATAAAGGGCAGCAAGTCTGGAAAGAATAAGGATGCCCTTAAGAAAGGCATAAAAGTAGTGTTAAAGGCAACTCCTGTTCAAGAACAACAGAAAACCTAGTCACAGCCGAGGTACTATTTAGAAAATATTATTTAGCTAGTGAAATAATAGAAGTAATAAGACACCAAGTTTGAATTGTGTTGACCATTCTCCTTTATTCTGTTTCAAACTGTTGAAGAGATAGTCAGATAACTACGAGATTTCACAGAGTGCCTTAAAAACTGCCACTTCTCACTTCAAAGTTACTTTGTTAACTGTCAAGCTGAGATGAAGAGCAAGAGCTTGTTCATATTTCTTCTCTAGTGCAACAGAGTGTAAAATAAATTATCATTAACAGCTGTGTGAAAATAAAAGCTTTCACAAACACTAATTCATTTGGTTACGTATCTGTACCATGATCACACACGCTTATCTTACCATAGCTTACTATGCTTCATTCCAAAATTCTCTTAACTGCAAGGGATTCATAACAAGCTAGTTTAAGAGTGTTTAAGTTGAAATTCTCTCTTTGTCAGGTACTTATAAGTAGGTTTTCTCAAAGACCAAATGGCTACATGAAGAGTTTCAAAGGAGGCTAAAGATAAAATTTGACACAGTCAACTTACTCCTTCTAAATGTATTCACTGATTCTCTTACTCCATGAAAGAATGATGGCATAAAAAATACTGAAAAAAAATGTAAGCTGGTTTGTTATTGGGCTGCTTCAGAGAAAGAGGAGAAAAGAAGCCTCAAAGGAAGGGTTAAAAATGTAAACATGTTATTCTGTCTGCTCCATAACAGCAGTAGAAACAAGCTTAGTTTATACCTCACATTTCTGCTTTATAACGTTTGTGGATTGTAGAAGCAAGGATTTTTAAAGGGAGAAAAAGTATGCTGGTACATGTACTTCTTTGAAACATACAAATAAATCCATTTTCTCATTTTTTCCTGATGATTAACAAACAATAAAGTTTTGGACTCGGATCTCTAAACTCTGGTCCAACTCTACATCTATGACCCCAGCTGTCTCCTGGGTTATCTTGCTCCTTTGCTCCCACTTCCACTCTTTTCCTGTGCTATCCCACCATCCATTCCAGATCAATCTGTTCAAATAGAAATGTACTTTTCTTTCTGTCGTTCACAAAACCACCAATCTTAGACTCACCTACTTCTCCAGTTTTCTTCTTTCCCTCACTGCGGAACACACTGTCTTGAAAAAAATGCCTTTATTGATTCATCTACAGGTATGTGGCATCCACCTACTACCTATGGAAAATGCTCTAAAAAATTGCCAAGAACATTTACTCATTAATATTACTTGAATACTGCTACTCATGAGGCTACTTGGTGCCTTGGAGATGGCCATTCCTAACACCCTTTTAAACACTTTAATCCTATCTTCTTTCTGATTTCCTTCAATATTTTACATCAGTATACAGTGAGTTTTCCCTCACTGAGCTGCCTTTCACTACTCTACACATCTTCTTTATGTACTATCTTCTGCTAAAATAGCTTCAAGTACAACCTTGTATGGTGAGTATATACAAACCTCCCTCACTGTTCCCTACTCGTTACACAGTCCTACAGTCTGACACTTCTTTCCAAGACCTTATTATCAAGTCAAACCATAAGGAAGCTTGAAATGAAAAGAATCACACTTTAAAGAGATGAAAACAATTTCAGAAAGCACAAGTAATGCTGAATCAAACCCTTGATCTTTCTTCCTTAATTTTTCTCAACTACCGTATTTCTCTGGTATTTTATACAGTCAGTTTTCTTGCCATTAATCAAATTACACGACTAAGAAATGACTCTGACTCTTTTTCTCAGATTAGGAAAAAGAATGCCTAAAGCATTCTGGATCTTTTTCCACAAGTTTGCAAGGTATTAAAGCCTGTGCAGCCCTTGAAAATTCACTATTCTAGTCTGATCACTGCAATTCCTCCTCTTCCTGAGTTTGTTAAAAGCTCAAATATGTTTGTACCTACCTGTCTGTTTGTTAGACCATGCTTGTTAGAACCTCTCCCTTTCGATTCTGTTTTCTCAGCCACAGCAAGGTCCACATTTCCAATACTATCTTGAATGGCTTATAAAATCATGTCCCTCAGAACTTCCTATCAATTCCATGTATCACATGCCACCAAATGCCTGACCTCAGTTAGGTCAGGATCATTAAGTTTCCTGTAAGCAGCTCTGAACTCTCTGCTACATAATTCTTTATCAGTAAAATTTTCTCTTTGATCGTCTACACAATTAATGCTTTAAAAACACTTTTGAAGACCCTCAGTACCTCACCTATACAGGAGATGAACCACCACAAAGCATGGGAACTGAGAATCTATTGTCTTTTTAGATTCTAAGTAACCTAATAATTTCTAGATTCTTTGCAACCCCCAAAAAATACAGCTGCTGTGGGAAACCAGTAAATAAATAAATAATATTAATAATAATGCATAAAAATTATGCTGCAGAGCTTTGTAAATTAATGTTTAAAATAAAATTAATGAATGGAGATGCAGAACACCACTAGAGGGCTCTAAATCCTTTTAATAACAGTATGGACTTTGGCTGATGAGAGGATCTCTATGATATGTTTCATGCATCTCAAAACTTGAGAGGCTCATAAACTGTAAAATCTAAATCCCCAAAATGAGTATCAAAATCTTTTGCTGAATGCAATTCCAGTCTTTGCTTAAGAAAGATCAGTTTGTAGGACACTGTTCTGCAGGTCCTTTCCTCTGGGAATTTTGCAACAGGATTCACGACACCTTTGAGACGCAAGGATTGCAATTGTGTTCTTTACATTTCATTAGTAACTCCATGCACGGAACTAGCTCAAGGATCTCTGCATCATAAGGAAACAAATAAAAATTTCCAGCAGTTCATTCCCAAGGAAAGGCAGGGGAACATGGTTCTCAGAGCTGTAAATCTGGAAGGGGGATTAATAGAGTTCAGTGGGGTTGGGAGGAGATTGTGGAAAATGAGCGTGCTCGCTCTCCCTCTCACACTACACCACTAGACAGCCTCTTTATCTTCACAAGAGGCAAAAGCTTCCTATACCAGCCAACCCACCTTCTCAGAACCAAGCAGAAGCCATGCTCACTCTCTCTATGCAGCACCTCCTTCCCACAGTGGGAGGAGAAGAAATTACTAGATTATGCAGCAGCCTTAAACTCTCCAGACTAGGCATAGGCAGTTTTAACAGTGATACCATGGCATTTTGCCACCCACATAATCTACTCCAGTAAGAAACACAGTTTTGCCCATTCAGCAATCCAGCCTTGTTACACACTCATGGTATTAGTTATGCCTCATATTTAAAAGTGTCATTTAATAGCAGCCTCTCATAAAAGCTGAGAATCAGAGCATGTATGTGCCTTAGGAAAGAAATTGAAAATGGCAGGTTCCCTGTGTACATTTTGGGTATGAGTTAGGTATTCTGCAGAAATGCTTTACTGAAGGTCTATGGCCTAAATAGGTCCAGATTTACCAATACTATCACTCACTATATAAAGCAGGAAAAAAAATCATTTATTAATCAATATATTGATAGGATAAGGTTTAGACACATTTGTCAAATTTTCCACACTTTGGTGAGATAAGGATGTAAGTTTCAATTTTGATTTGATTATTCCATACTTCCACATGACCTTCTCGAATACGGTTGCTGACGGCTTATATCTATTATGTTACCCTTTCCTTTCTGAATGTGCAGTTGGTGTTCCAAGAATATCCCTCTCTCGTGTTCCATCTTACAATTTGATCTCAACATGACAGAAAACTAGTGTTTTAAAAGCCAAAATCTATAAGATAATGTATTTTATTTCTACATTATGTCTCCTGATTTCTTTTACTTTCTTAACATTTTATATTCTGCAGTTACTGAGGTAAATGTTGTATACCATTTCTTTAAAACTTCTTTATTAAAAGTTTATATAGTTTTCCATTTTTTTTCCTGTTTAGTATGTCTTAAACTATATAAAAATATACTGTAGCTAAAAATATTGCCCACAGTATCAATAAAATAGTCAATCTGGCAATGATGCAAATTCAAAGGAAACATTTGTAAGAAGTGAGTTAAAATTTACTTATAGCCTATTCAACTTCAAAGGCCTGAGAAAGTCCAGGAAGCTTAAATGCTCTAACAGACTATCTAATTCTAGACTTGCAGTTTGACATTCACAGAAATTTGGCTTGTAGGCATTTGTCTTCAAAAATTTCATATAGCAGTTTAAGTGTTTCAATACAAGATTTTACATGAACTATAGAAATCTTCATTATTTGGAGTTAAAATTGCAGGAACATAAAATTCGCATCTGCTGCATTTACGTATGATCTTAGCAATTTTGCTATTCTGTCTTGAAATAACAAATATAGTACTAATTTAAAAGTTTTAAATTAAAAACTTACTTTTAGATTGGGGAACTTCAGGTATTTATGCATATATTTAAAATGTAACCATACATTTTATTCCCTGGCATAAGATCATATATTGAGTAAGATGATAAACATGTTTTCCTGATTTTTTGTGTTTTAGAGTTGTGGATTGTAATCCTGACTTAAATTGCTTAAGCTTTTAATTTTGATTCATTTGAACTATCAAATTTACAAAAAGATAAGTGAAAGGAAGTGTATGAAATACAGAGAAATTGTATCACTGATTTAAAATGTAAAAAAATGTTTCATTTTGTAATTCTTCATTTGAGGCCATAGGACAAGAAAAGGGAACAGTAAGGAAAGTAAGATCAAAGGCAAATATAAACAACAGAAGATGGAGAAAAGCACGTATTAGCTTTGGAGACACCGTATCTGTTCAGATTGTTTTATTGGACCAACAAACCCAGTAGCAGAGTGGAATATTCTCTGGGTTTTGAGAAAAAGAAGAACAAAAGGAAAAATTATTATTACCATGATCTTGATCAGGAGCTTCCAGGTTGTAACCATAGCCTAGAAGGGTGCGGACTGCTTCCCGAAGACTGTCTTTGTTTGACTTCTTCGTCCGATCATCCAAAAGAGCATAAGGTACAAGGCGAGGATTTCGTCGATTTTTCACATCCTGCATAAGTATGAAAAATCAATTTGATTTCAGAAACTGTGCTTTGTCTTAAAGACAAAATTGTGCAATAGCAGCAGTATAAAACTTACTGTGTATACCAACTGAAATCATGGAACTACAAATACAACGAGGATTCAAAGAAGTTGTAATAGTCCAGAAACAACACTGAATTTACTAAAAAAGCAAGTAATACACAAATAAATGAAACTGTGTGGCTTATACCTGCTTTAATTTTCAATCAAATTTACTTAATAGGATAACAATACAAACAACAAGAACAAGGATAAATGCAGAGTTTAACTGAAAAGTCAAAGGGATTATCTTTTGTACACTGCTTATGAAGCAGCTACCATAACAAGAAGCTAGTACATAACTAAAGCTCAGAGACATTACTGTACCACAAATACATAGGGCTTTTTTTAATTATAGCACTAAACAAGACACATAAAACCCTCAAGGAATAAACAAGATATAAACAAAAGAAAAAAACACTACTAATAAAAAAATTATAAATATGTGAAACACTAATTAATAAATAATACAATAGATAATAAACCTGTGCCTTGCTATGTCAAAAACGGAAATGAAGATATTGGTAACGTTTAATCTTGGTATTTTAGGTTTATTAACACAACACTGATTAGGTTTTCCTCTAGTGCAGAATTATCTTATTTGAAAGCATTGTTTAACTGGGTTATTTATATGGCTAACATAATTTTTAGTGACCAATAGAATTGTTTTCTTGTCTACATTTTCTTCTCGCATCCTATCAGAATTTGTTGGCAGTGAGAGAAACCATACAAATAACTCCCCCTGTTCTTCCAACATCTTATTTAGAAAAATAGAGTTAAAGATTGGACATATAAAAAAAATAAAAATATTTGCTGTTTGTTCTCTTGGGTACAAACATCAAAGATATTGAGAGGCCTTAATGATTGGTCAGACTTACTAAGAAGTGCAAAAATAGTGCCTATTATTTTAGAAAACAGTGCCTATGGTGAAAGTATCTTCTTTTTTACCATTAGAGTTCTACTTTTAAGAATTTATGTTTTTCATTAAAACATACATTTTCATACATTTTAAGAGTGTATGGTTTTCATTCTGCCTTTGCAGGCAGAAAAGCAATGGCACATCCATTCTGACAAATACCTGCAGGCATATTTTGCCTTCTAAATGCTCAGATACAAGGCTACCTGCCTCTTGCCTTATGGTGCGTAAATTTTAAAGTGCAGTTATTAACCAGTGCTTGATAAAATCTGGTTCTACCCATGATCCTTCTAGGAGAAGAAATATTATGGGACAGGCATTACCTATATGCTAAAAGGACTAACAGAAAGAGAAAGATAATGCATTTCTGGGGACACAAATTACTACACTGTATCAGCTCTAGTTATATTCAGTGGGAAGGACAGTAAAAGGGCCAACACAAGGACCATTTGAGGGGACTACTTTCCATATTTATTCCAAACACTTAATTTGACATCCTCCTTTTTCCAATATTTAACCTGGTAGATGTGGAAAAGGACTGCTTCCAGAACAGACTGGACCAAACAAATGTTGAAGTAAATGTTATAAGGGATTATTATTTGACATAAGAATATTCACATTAACATCAGAGATGAAACACCATGGGTTTAATTATTTGTCTTGGAAAGGACATAAAGAGAAAAGTTTCCTCTGAAACACTGTATGTCCAAAAGATATTATGAAATATGGTCTTTAAAAATATGAAACAGAACTTTGGAACAATGACTTCTTATGCATGATATACAGTTAAACTAATGCACTGGTAATTGCCATAGCAACCATTTACACCCATTAACATTCAGGCAATCAGCTGATAACAATGTATGATAATGAAATATAGTATAAGTGCTTTTAAAAATGCCTAAGCACAAAATTGGAGGGAGGCGTAAAGAAATCATAAGTATTAAACAAAGTCTATTTTACAGATTTTTTTTTTTCCTTGGGTCTAATTTTATTTAATATTGTGACCTTTTTCACCCATTCAAGACATGGGCTATTTCTTTAAATATGAATATGAGAAGGGATTTTTCTTTTAATAATTTTGTTCCTTTTTTTCCTATGATATGTCTATCTAAATTTTGAATGTTTTCCTTATTGCTGAATTAAGAACTGTTACTGTTATACTCTTTGTAAGTTTTTGTTCTGCACCTCTGTGGTTTAAGCGTAACTAATCAAGAGAATGATCCTATACAGTGATTGAGCTTAGCACAGTTCAGTCAATTCAACAAGAAAACTGATTAGCTTAGAGTGGTAATTTTTATTGAGTACATTTGCAATTCCTACATAGTCCTCCTATTCACTAAAGAAAAGTTACTGTTTTGTAGTGTAGAGTGTTAAAAGAGGGAAAAGTCAGCCTAAGTTTTTAAATTTTTTCCCAGAATTTTCCAGGTTTGACAGTCTAATGCTTCATCAAAAGACTGTGTTTTGTACAGAGTTTGTCTGGCAACTACTTGTTCACCTAGTCATTTGAAAGAAAAAGAAAAGCAGGTCTCCTCCACAAGACAGAAAACACCAAAACAAACTTAAGTTTGTTGACAAGATTCTGGTTCAAATGGTTTGAGCTGGGTAGCAGACATTAAGTTTATAAAATTATTTAGTTTTGAATACAGAACCTATCATATCGCCGAGAAAAAAAAAAAAAAGAAAAGAAAAAAAAGGAAAAAGAAAAACATCTATACATTTTATTACACAACTTTGTATTCACTTAACATAACACAAACAGTGCATTAGTCATTTAGAATTTAATTTGGAGTTACTTAAGTAAAAGAAAGTATTGCAACCATGAAAAGTTGGAATGCCTGGCAGAACGTGCCCTGACTATAAATGGAAGGAACTAATAGTAATAAATAATGTTAAACTTGAGTGATGTAACATTGACTATTAAAAGTCAGTATTACTATACACTTACAGTGTACGCTACAGATTTTGCCATATACAGCAAATGATAGACAAAGAATTATTTGAATCAACACATATATACTTATTTGTAGGGTATAAATGGATTTGAAATAGGTGATAATTGGTCAACAATGGAACTAACTGAATATAGATCTCAAAACTAATAGAACAGATCTACAGAAAAAAATACCTAAACACACACACTAACAAATATCAAAAAGCCTTTTAAAACTTCCATTAAGGTAATGAACACTGCTGCAAAATAATTCACAGAGGAAACACACTGGGAGCTAAGGCGTGCAGAACTGCATTCATTCACTCAGTGAGTATCTGACATGTAGATAAATGATCTAGTGCACTGGATCTAGCAACTAGTCTTGCAGTTTGCGTAGGCAGATGTCACGTAAGAGTAAAAATGAAACAAGAGGAGTGTCCATACTGTCTACAGCAGCATAGGAAACCATAGTCAAATTCTATGAGCAGCTCTAAGAGAAGAACCTGTTAAGAAATACAGTGTGTGTAATAAAGTTTACTCTTCAGAAGTAAATCAGTAACAAAAAACAAAGCCTCGTATAAAACTCTAAAAGACATCTGAAATTATAAAGAATAATATAGTTTTCAGAGCTATAAATGTGATACTGCAAACCTGTGCACTCCTGGGCCTTCCCAAAGCTCTGAGAAGTTCAGGAACAGCACAGATCACTAGACTAAAAGGAACAAAAAGACACCAGAAACATACATAAATAAGTGTCTATCAAAAAGAAAGACAGGAAAAGACTGAAAAATGAAAACATAGACTAGGAGGAGTGCAGGAAATACATGATAATAATTTAATGGGATCATAAGTTTTGTGACTGAAAATGTTAGAGCTGTACAGATACATATTCTGTGCGGTACTGAAAAGATTTTGCTTGATTTAACAGCAAGGCTGTTAAATGACAAGCGCAAAGCAACTGTATTTCAGCACATATTCAGTGAGGCAGACGTGCTGCTGTTTTCCTAGCTTCATCTGCACCATTAGAAAACACTCATTCCACAGCTGTGAATTGATTCTGCTTGATGCCATATCTGTGGATCTTGCACTTCCACTAAGATTTCTGAGCAATTGCCACAACAAATGCTACTGGTGAGCTTGCCAGCAATGCTGTCGAAAAACCCAGCTCATGAGCCACCGTGTGAGTGTGCAGCATATACCCTGTGAACAGGATCACTTACCTACACCAAACATTTCGTATCTTGTTATCCAGAGGTCTAGCTTTTCTGTATATATCATGGCAGCTCATGTTTAACCATAAACCATTAAAATTAAAAATTATTTTATACGGGAAAAAGGAAAAATATAATTCTAAATTGGTATTTATTAAGTAAGTAATCTCAAGATTCCAGAGTCATTCAAGCTGGAAAGCACAATAAAGTCCCCACAAAGCCATATTCTTGGCAATGTTAACAAAAATGCTAAATGTATCCATCCAAAGCAGAAGTTGTGTTCCCAACCGGGCATACTAGCAGCTGAGTTCTGTCCTTAGAAGTATGCGTATTCTTAGAAATATGCGTACAGCTTCTGCCATCTTCACTGAGACCTGTACCCATATGGAACGGCTGGCAGAATGTGCCCTGACTATAAATGGAAGGAATTAATATATCAGTATTAATAATGTAAAACATGAAAGTGAAGTAACATAAGTAGTTTTCACAAGGACAAGACGCCTTTTCATATATATTTAATGACAAAATAAGTGACAAGCTTTCAACTCGTGATTTTTTCCCGTAAGTCCACGTTTCCTCAGTCTGAATTTCCAGAACAGTGCCTCTCTTGCATTGCAGCACTAGGCAGTCTGAGAAGACCAACTCCTGATCAAATAGCGAAGTCATATGCTGTCTACAAAAAAATCTAAAAAAAAAAATAAGATCCTAATTTTAAAAGACCAAACTGTCTTGCATTTTGGGCCAAAGGCTAATCAGACTTGATAATTGCTTCACAGTCCTTACTAATTATCCTAGGACAGGAAGCACACAGCAACCTTTTTAAGATGCTCTTCACAAAGTGGAAGGAACTTTTTAGGTTGCTGATTTTT